TTTTTAACATCATTGACCTATTATTTTTATTTTTGCTGACAGCGCAAAGTTTAGTGTCAAGAATATTTCACACAGTTGTGTTTTCCTGGGTGCGTGTATATACACAAACACCACCATATGCTCACTTGTTTTGTAATGAACTGGGTCTGCAGCTGACCTGTGAATTCTAACTTTCAGTGGGAATTACGCTTCTAAGTTACCAAGGTACTTTGGAAAATGCCAGCTTTTAAGATGCCTGAGTACCTTGCTGTAGGCAGGTCATATTGCTTACATTCAGAAAACAGCCAAACTTTGTGAGCTCTGGGACGACACAAAACTGTTCTGTTTCCTACAGAAGTGGATTATCTAATGGAAAACCCAATTCTACCTGCCAGTGGAGCACCTATGATGTCCCTTGAGAAGATGTGTGGAAAACCTGTGCTCTTCAATCACAATGAATTGTCCTCATCTTTGTCAAGATATTTTTATGTCCATATGTTTTTATTACAAAGAAGGCTGTGACTTGCTTTACTTGGAAATAAGTAAATTTCTCAGACAGAAGTTCCAAGTATATGGAACTTGTGAATGAATTTGAAGATGGCAGAAACCACCTGCAATGCTTTTCACCTCTGCGTGTCACTGTTAATTTTCAAGGGGTCCAATATGGTTTTGTTCAGAGTTTACCTTGTGGTGATAAAACTGCAGTTGTTCAATGCATGCTGACTGTCAGTGCTCAAGCTGGGACAGTCACTGAAAGCAAGGATATATGCTAAAGCAAAGTGTGACATAGCAGTAACCTGTGAGCATGCTGGGACTCATTAGCATGCTCAAACACTGGGACAGGTTACCTAGAGAGGTGGTAGATGCCCCATCCCTGGCAGCAGGTCAGGTTGGATAGGGTTGTGAGCAACCTGGTCTATTTGAAGATGTCCCTGCTCATTGCAAGGGCAGTTGGACTAGATGACCTTTAAAGGTCCCTTCCAACCCAAACTATTCTGTGATTCTATGATGCTATGGTAAATGCATATGTATGTGTGTGTGTAATTGCTTCAGAAAGGTTAAAAGGGGTGAATGAGGTGAGCACAGTATGCAAGTCTTCATACCATGTGAGTGTCAGGAACCAACCTGTTCCCTGTACATTTTTACTGAGCCTTGCCAGGATAAGCATAGGGTCTATACAGGATGTAATACTAGAAAATGATAGATGAATTATTCAGAAAATTACCAAGAAGAGCAGGAGGCTTTTTGTCTTTTCGTGTACAGAAATCAGCACAGGATGGTGCTCTGCAAGATCTGTGCTAGCCAAGCACAAACTACTAGACTTATTGGAGGGAAATAGCTGGGTGCAATACTTGGCCTGTGGTCCAGTTAGTGACATCATTACTGTCTAAAGCCAGCAGGCCAGTCTTTTCAGGGGTTTAAAAGGAAAGCTGGACTCTTGTGCAGGCACTGCCTTTGTAAAATACTTTACCTCGTGGTTCAGAAAAGATGCAAGAAACTTCAAAATGCATAATTTCCCTGGAGGAAAACAAAATGGAAGTTTCATGTAGCTGTGAGAGTGATGGCTTCCCAAGTTAGTGCCTGATTCTTTATTTCTAGGCAAAGATTTGGATCTTTCCGTTATCATGACTTTTCTGATAGTTGGCAAAGAAAATGCCTAATGACAGCTCAACAAATAACATTGTTCCTGATTAACTCTGAACATATTTAGTGCAAAGCAGGAGCAGTATGGTTGGGTTATCCCATTTCATGCTTTGCAGGAGGAAGGCAAGTCTATTTGGGGCAAGATTTCCTACATGTTGTTAATTAGGAGCAGCTCCTGTTTAGACAAGCCCCCAAGAAAACTGTTCTGGCATGCACAGTTGCAAATACAGATTGTCTTTATGCGTTATGAGTATGAACAAGAGCCATGGATATCAATTTGTAAATGTCGAAGGGTTACAGTTCACAGGCAGTTGTTCAAACACTTTAGTTCTCACATTGTTTTCTGCAGGTAAGGGAGACTGTGGCCCCAAGAGCAGAATCTGGCAGGTAATTCTGAATAATATGTAGAATTACATACAGCTGAGGTACTGGTGGACATAAGATTGCTCCTGGTGTTGAGCTAGTAAGTTGTAGAAAGAGGGACAACTTTTCAAAGGCTTGTTGAAGCAAGGTGTCCTCTCATCATTAGTTCTTGTTTGCCCTCTCTATTCTCTCCTCAAACCGGTTAGGGTTTGTCAGTGAGCTAACTCTCCTAAGCAGCTCTTGAGAAAAACTACTTCTGGATAGAGAAATGTGACTGGTGTCAAGTTAGGTCTTTTCCAGTCATCATGCAAACTAGCTGATGAGAAATTATTAACACTATTTAATGGGAAAACATCAGGGTCTTTTGTTGAGAAGCCTTTTCCCCAGTGTCAAGGGATAAAGAATTTACCACTTCACTTAAGCATTGGTTCCAGTGTGTAATTGCATTCATTGCTACATTTTTTTCCTTTTTATCCCATTTGAGTTGGCCTCTGATAAATATTTCTGAACACACATTTTTGGAATTCCTACTTAACCTTTTGATTTGCATACTGCAATACGTGCTCAATAACTTTACCTGAGCTTTTTATACTTGTAGTTTACAGTATGTACTATTTCAGTTTATGGATGTACTTCTCCTCCAGACAGTTTGATTTTTAGCAGGTTTGTAGGGGTGAGGGAGCTCTGACAAAGAGAACAGAATATACCACTGGGGAGAAAATCTGAGTTCCCTTTCTGTTCTTTACTCCAAAGAAATTAGCCTGGACATAATTCAGTGTGGATACGATTGCTGTAGACTGCAGAAAAAGTTCCCACTTTCGTTTGGAAATTGTGGTAAATTTGGTTTCTAAGGTTTCTTGAGGCTTATATGGCCATGGTCTGTTTGACTTCTTGATTTCATAACCTCTTAGCAAATTTGAAGCCACTTTAGCAAGTGGGTAGAGATAATTAATATAATAAAATTTTTTATGAGTTTTATAAATATAGGCAAACGGGTACAGAGAGATGCTCATATAAATGCTCAGAGTGAGGAAAAGGGTTGTAAGGGGAACTAGTGTCTTTTGACATGACAGAGAACATGAAATACTTATAAACCCCCCAACTGCAGGGAAGCCTTCAGTCAGAATTTCAGACATAAATTCCCATTCCTGGGGCTGTTGGCTCCTGGCTTGTTTGTGGAATGCCAGACCAGTCCTGGCACACTCTTATGCAACATTTGGACAAAGAATTTCACAGAAGGGGGTTTCCCTCATGTATCAGATGAACTCCATCCATTTAGACTTTAACTGATGACTGGAAGCTGGGTCAAACCATCTGCACATGCACTACACGCTCTCTCCCTAGTTTTGTTCTTGCAGATTATTGTGCAACATGATACTGGATGAGCACTATTATAACCTGGAATATATTCTAAATGTAAAGCTCCATCAGACATTCTGATAATTGCATGCTGTATAATTAAAACTGTGTAGGCTTTTCTTTCTAAGTATGGCAACAAATATTAGAGCACATCTGGAAAAATATGCTTTAAGCAAAGGTATTTTAGCTCAGAGAATTTCACAACACATGGGATGTTTACCAGCACTTCTTTCCAGAATACTAATCTCATTTATCAGTACTTTTAATACAAAAGTCTTCATTTTTTGTCATGTTTGTAAAGCTGGTTTTGAATTAATATCACAGATTGGCTATTCCAGTGTAGTTCTAGGCTAAATGCTGCAAAACAAAAATATTGCTTTGTTATATTTTTAGGTAGAAGCTAAATAAACCTTGTTTAATGCCCTAATAATATTTTCTTCAATGATTTCAGCCAAATATTTTCCTTTTTTTTTGACTCTAAAGACAAATAATTGTTTCATACTGGAATCACATTGAGAGGAAAATTGGTTGGACTCCCTTTGTGCTTCTCAAGGCTCATGTTAACCCCCTTCTGTGCTATCTCCCTCTCTAGGGAATAGAAATAGTTGTACTCCCTATGACTATTACAACATTACCCAGAACATCTTTGAAATCAGTGAGAGTGTTTACAAGGTAGGATCCTGGCCACTTGGAAATGAATGGCAATATTTTTGCTTGTGGTATGTGCTCAAGCATTGCAGTTTCTGTTCTTTCCTCAGAACTGTTGTGTAGAAATAGCACTACAAAACCAGACTTATTGAAATTCTTAATTAAAATGAAAACAAGAAAGCAGAAAACTGTTAAAAAACTTAAAAATTTCTCTCCATTAATTTATTGATAAAGTTACTCATTTTGTTTATTTGGAAAAAAAAAAGACTAAAAATAAAGATTCAAAAGCCCAGACACTTTACTAACAAGGGATCCTTTACTCTGATCAGGATCTGCATTCTGACCCAAGCATCCCAAAACCAGCCAACCAACTTGCTTTCAAGGTGATGGGGAGATTCGGCAGATAGGTAGCATTTACCACCAACTCCCCAAGTGAGAACCAGTTCTCCTTTATTTGGAGTAGGAGGCAACTTTTTTATGCTCTGTAACATTGTGTTGGAACAGCTTTGTGCCTGAATTTTAAATCAGAAACGCTGTGCTTGTGCAGCTGGAGGCAAAATGCAGTTACTCAACCAAGGAAGAAACTACAGTTAAAAAAATGAATGAGATTAAAAAAAAATAGAACTACAGCAGTGGTACCACAAAATAAAAGAGTAGTATGGAATGTATTAATAATGTGGGAAAATTAATTCCAAATTATTGACAGTGTAATTGAGGTACAGGAAGTATTTTAATGGGCTATGTTGTGCTGTTCTTCACTGTTTAGTCCTGCCCGCTGGGCAGAAACCAAGTTTTTCCCAGTATGGGGTTTGAAGTTGTAATAAATGGTTGCTGTGGGTTGCCTGGTGGTCAGATGCCAGTGGTGACATGTGACCGAGTGTCTTCCTCTTCCATCCAACACCTGCAAAGTGAGCAGGGCTTGGGTGCCTCTGTTCCACTCTCGTCCCAGTGTTGTTAGTTACAGAGGCTTTTTGCAAATGATACTCACAAGGTGATTTGACCCCCAGGCTCCGACTGCATGAAGAAAAAGTCATTAAAGATCGGCGACACCACCTCAAGACATACCCGAACTGCTTTGTTGCCAAAGAGCTGATCGACTGGTTGATTGACCATAAGGAGGCCTCTGACCGAGAGACGGCAATTAAACTGGTGCAGAAATTACTGGATCACAGCATTATCCACCATGGTAAGTGCAATATCAGCCACTAAAAAGTTCTAAGCTATGTTTTGTTGTGAAACAAAGGGAAATCCTACTTGTGCTCTTCCAAGTACAGGGCATGTAGGATCCTTTCCTTGCTGGAAAGGGAGCATCTCTCTTGAACTGTGCTGCTCTGCAAGGTCCCTTGTGCTCTGAGGAGAGGCTGAAGAGGTGTGAAGTGATGTTCCCTATGTCAGTACAGGGCAAGAAGTTACTGGAGACCATGCTGCTGCTGATCCCCAGCTGGATTGTGTCCCCTCTCTCCCTGCTGCCCTCACCTCCCTGCTCCCCAGAGCACAGTTTTCCAGATGAAAAACCCATCTGAAAAATCAGCAGGCAAAAAAAGATCATTTTTCTCAGACGGATTAGTTCTTTGGCCCTGTCCCTTACACCAGCTGCACAAACATTAGTGCTGGTACAGCTGCAGGAAAGTTAGTGGTCCGACTGTGCCCTGATTAATTTTCTCCTGAACTTGTTGCCTCTTTGAGATCTGTTTCTTTCAGCTTCTTGAATAACAATTTATCCTGATGAAAAAGAGAATTCCAATTCAGTAGTAGCATTTAGTTGCCTTTTGGTGCACAAAAAAAGCTAGGAAGCACACAAACAAAGACGATCCAAGGCCTTTATTTCAAGAGTATAGTATTACCTATTTAAAAAAGGCAGAATGTACCATTTGTTTCTTTTCTAAGGAAAACCAAGTGCCTGAGAACAGACGAATGTTGACTTCATGCAGGGGTCACTGTATGTGCAGCAATACTGCTGCTATCTCAATACATTAACAACACCTTAATTAAAGTAAGAAATGCACATATTGAATGAATGACACTTCTACAGCTTCTGCTTGGCTATTAAATTAAAATGCTGGGTTGTTATGGAAACTGGGACTCACGGTAGATAGTTAAAGAATAAAGTAATTATAGGGTATTCAGATCTGACTACTTAATCCTCTATTGAGAAAATGTCAGTGAAGAGTTGCGTGGATGCCTGAGTGACTTAATTTAATTGAGCAATAGATGTTTCATTGCTGACTGCTTGTTGAAAGCTTTAACAACCTTCAAACGTTTCCTGCTTCAGGATCCAGTGGCACACCATAACTTCCATACAAATTTTATATGTGTGTGTGCATATAGTACACATAGAGCAGGTGTTTCTTGAAAATGTTCATGCATTGCACTCAAATTTGATAAAATAGTTAGCTAGGGTAAACTCAAAGAAGTTCAGTCAGGTTCTGCATGATGTTCAGAGCATCCTTTCAACTCCCATGTCCAGTGAAAGGGGTACCACTTCCTGCTCTTGTTGTGCAGCAGGTGAGTCCACGTACGTGAGCTGACAACTCTGCTAGGAGCACCTTGGTTGGGATACCTTTCCTATTAATTTATAGCCCTGTTGGAGCTCTGTTCTGCATTTACAAAAGCCCATCACCAGCTACTGTCTTATAAACTTAATTTATCATTCCTTAGTGTGCTCCTGTTGTACCTACCATTTGCTAGTTGTCATGGGTAACTTTCTGCATCAAGTCTTGGGTTTCCTACATTGCTCAACTGATGCAGATAACTTCAAGAAGTTTGTCAATCCTGAAATTATTGGGTGTACTACATTGGTGGCCTTTTAAACAGTTAACAGACTGTTTTTGTCAAAAGGTTTTCTGGATATACAGTGGATGGATGCTTTTTTGCTCTTTATGTTTGCAATAATGCTCAGAAAACTGATGAACACATATCTAAAAGTTTTCTTCAGCCTGTCATCAGTTATTAGGACTGAATAAAGTTTCATACTCAGAAATACAGTGGTTTAGGCTCCATACATGCTTACTTTGAAGTTCCGCAGTGATAGCTGGTAAATAGATCCTCAACTCCTTAACATCTATATGAAGATTTTTTTTAATCTGTTGTATGTTTCAGTCTGTGATGAGCATAAGGAATTCAAGGATGTCAAACTGTTCTATCGCTTCCGAAAAGACGATGGGACGTTTCCCCTGGACAATGAGGTGAAGGTGTTCATGAGAGGACAAAGACTGTATGAAAAGTATGTTGCATTCAGTATCCATCATGTGTTCATAGTAGTGCCACAGGATGTAAATGCTACTTCTTAACCAATTTTTAAATAGTTACAGGCTTTCAAATTATGCAGAAATGGGTCTGGGTAATCCTGTGACTTTAGTTGGTAACTCTTGTCTCTCCCATTTGTCTTTTGCTTTTCTACCATGTTCACTTGTAGGATTTTGTTTAAAATGAAATGGTATTTTCTGACGTTCTGGGTTGTAAATGCATCCTACGTGAGAACCCAATGCGAATTTAAGCCCTTGCACTCTATTCTGTAAAAATAATTACTAAAAGATGATTTGTCATGTAAAACTGCAATCACAAGACCTAAACCAGTACATCAAAATGCACTGAACAAATGGCTATAAGTCTGTTGAGACTCCATATCTACAGCTTCACCAGGAGGTAGGATTTGAAATAATAGGTGAGATTAATCTTTGATGTTCCAGTCTGCAAAGCTTTTACATCCGAAAGGTTATATTAAAAGTTGTCTAAAAAAAAACCAACCCCAAACCAGCCAAGAGCTTCTAATTAAGATCTGAAACAGATGATTATGATGAGATACTGAATATCCCACCGAATTACGTCCGTCAAATAACTAGGCAGCTTAACTGTACTTCCCAGTCTATAATTAATGACATTTGCATTCAGGATGTAGAGATTGTGGCACTGTACTTACAAACAGAGAGAATAAAACACATGCTGGCATATACTACAAACTAATGTGAAAGTTGTGACGTGTTATTTACCAAAAAGCTTGAAGTATTTCTCTAGACTGGATACCACCCCCTCTTCTGCTTGGTTAGAGCAGAAACATGCAGCAGCTGGCAAGATGCTGTTCTTTCTGGCTGGAGTAATTTTGTTCCCCTCTTAGAATAAAGCACTCAGGAAAATCCCAAGTTTAAAAGCTGATGATAAACATTATTTTCAAAGTAAGAAGGCTCTGAAGGTCAATTTCATGAAAAAGCAATAAAACTGAAATATAAACCAATAATTGTAAATGCCATTCCTTTTGTTGCACCTATCGTATAAAATTCCCTGAGACTCAGTCACTGTGACTATTTCAAGTAAAAAAAAAAATAATAAAAAACTGGATAAGACACAAAGAAAATACAGGAAAAAAAATCCTTCATTGGGTGCACTGGGACAGAGGAATCAAATCTCCAAACCTTCTGTGCCTTACTAAGCATAGCATTTGCTCCTTTAGGCTCTGTAACATGCAGTGCCTGCAAGCCTGGCCCATACTATAAAAGCCAGTCAGTCAACAGTATCAAACCTTTTTTTTTTTTCCTATTGTTTTTCTATATTCCTATTTCTATTCTGTGAGAAAAACCTCTTTTTGTTGGTGCTGCTGATAACAGTCCTGCATGAAAGGAGCCATGGTGTCAAGAACTGTCTTCTCCCGTGTCTGCTTCCATCCCCATTTCTCTGCATAGAGAACTAGCCCCAAACCAATGTCTAGTATCCAGTTTGTCCAGCACTATACTAGCAGAAAAATATTCATAACAGTATGAAGTGCTCCCATCTTGGAAAAGGAGATAATGCCAAAAGCAGCACCTATATCTAAATATAGCTGCGACCTCGTAAGGTGATTGCTCTTAGGCAACATATCTAAAGAGTTCAGAAGCTTTTAAAACCAGCCTTGAGTGCTAAATATAGAATAGCTTAAAATTAAATGGCATTTCGAAACCAGCCTGTGACAGTCAAACCTAGTCAAAATTCTCCATGGATCATTGGAAATATTTTATATTCATGGAAGATAAGAACACATACTTCGGCTGTCTGGGCTCCACTTTATTGTAGCAAACTGAGCATGCAGACACTCAGATTTCATTAGGTCCCTTGTCCATGCACACTTACTAGCAACACCTTCAGTTTCATTGGATGCCTTTTACATTCAAACTCTAACACTGATAGACTACTGCAGAAGTTCTGCAGTGAAATGTGTGTATGTGTAATATACCTGTTGTATCAGTTTGCTGATAGTGTTGAGAAAGATTCAGTGCAATTAAAATAGTTATTAAACAGCAACAACTGGAGAAAAGTATTCATGCACAGACATGAAGTCATGTCCCAGTGTATTCAACTTGTTTATCAAAATGCCTGTAGGGCCTAATTTCAAGAGAAATGCAACCGTGCCAAAAGAAATCTGTATGAATCCAACATATTTTGAAAATCTGTGTCTAATTTTGTAGATGTTGCTGATATTCACTAGGCTTTGCTAGTTTAAGTTAGACATTATAGTAATATTTTCTGCTCTTCTCCACCCACCATATTAGGGTTAGAGTACCATTATATCCAAAAGTTAATGTAGTTTATGCTTGCCAAATCTGCGGACATGTTATCCAACATCAGTCAATCCACTCAGATTTGTACCCTCGAGTGAAATGAGCAAAATGCTTTAGGAAGAATAGCAGCTTGTTGCATTGGGAAAGGGATGGATGCGTTAGGCAGGTTCTCTGCATTCAGGCAGCTGTTTGGGTAAATTCCTTGTGCTCTCCCGTGGGACAGTAGGACTGTTCCCCATTTCCTTGTCCCCCTTATATGTAGCCACGAAGCTAATCGTAGCCTGGATTATCCTCTCCTGTGGCATTACCTCCTCCATCTATGCTGGACAACTTTGGTGGCTGTACCTGTGCAATTAAAAGATTTGAAATCAGTCTTTGTTTGTATTATCCTTTCATTTGCACAGAAAACCATACATTAGTCCAAATTCTATGCATATCATTGCAAACTTTGTTAATCCTTTCTCTGTGTGTGTGTTTTGAGGTTCAAGTATATAACTAGAGATGAAACCTACTGGATTTCCTACAGATTTCTTGTCTGAAAATTGTTGAATGGTTTATTATTAGGTCCAAGGATGGTATCAGTTTTCTTAATCTATAGGACAATATATATATAGGACCAGATTGAATGTGATAAATGTGTTTCCTGTTCAGTGAAAGTCTCCCTGCAAATCTTAACTAAATCCAGCACAGACAGTTCATAGCTTAAAAAAAAAGGATTTGCAGACATCCCATTGTTATGACGTTTGCAACTCTCAGTAGGTTTTGGTCAGACAGGATTGTTGTTTCTGGTGCAATCAGGTTTAGGAACTGTAAGTCATCTCATGATGTTGACTCCAGCTGAGATTTTTCAATCAGACTGCACAGTGAAACGCATGCAGATTTATGGTTTTAATATCAGGAAATCATTCAGATAATTTTGAGACTGCATTCTTTGAATTACTTTCATTTTAACTCATCAGTGGTTAAATCAGATTTATCCTCTGGTGCAGTTATTTAGATAAAACAAGGTTTGAATTTCAGTGTTTGGCTAAATACATTCCCTTAATGCAGGATAACACCAGTTTTAGCAAATAATATGTTTTAACATGAATAGGCTTGTGTTTTTTTGAAACAAGGAGAAAATGGAAGAGATAGAGGTACTTTCCAGTGCTGGCTAATGAAAGGCCAGGTTTTTGGCTGATGTAAGTTGGTACAGCTTTGTTGACAGTCATGGCGTTACAGTGATTTACTTCAGTTAGTGATGCAAGTCTATGGATTGCTGTTTCTGGGTTTGTTAAACTGTCAATTTGTCATGTCTGTTTGTTCACAAGTCCAAATCCTTTGCAGTACTATTCTGGGCACATGCAAAAGGGTGTGAAATGTCAAGTTGAGTGTTTTTCTACTTGATATTTTTCCAAATTTCTTTTGTGCCTCTGCAAAAACCTAACCATTAGCATCTCTTTTTCAAGGACCTCTCTATCTGCGACTTCAGTGAGCTGGTCAACTAATTATAGACTCATCAAAGAACAATTAACACAATCCTTAGGTTTTTTTCCTTTGTGCCCGCAGAGCCTGGGTAACCAGTTCTGGGTAACCATGCAGCAGATGGTACAAAAAGACACAAGCTTTGGGTTTGATTTTTTTTCCAGGAAGAAAAAAAGGCTGGTGTATGAGACACGTTTAAAGACGGTCTCTTGGAGCACTGTGTGTATCAGATGTGGTTAGTGTGGGACAAAATGTTGCCTTGCATGCAGATGCTTGTAAATCAAAATATGAAAAGGAATCAAGTCTTTGCAAGAGTTCTGGAGTCAAAACCTTGTCTCCTGTGTCACATATTCTTGCTTTTGGCCTCACCCCTGACTTCAGCTAATTTTGACTTTTTTAGTTCTTACTCAGCTCAGAGGTGCTGGCAGTGGTGCACCAGAGAGCAGCTCATTATCTCTGCCACTGATATACAGCTGTGGCTGAGGAGCCTTTGCCAGGTTTAATGCTTGGCTGTCTGTTGGTCAGGTCCAGTCAGTTCAGGCTTCTAGTTATCTCTCATTGAAATCAAGGGAATCAGTCTTTCAGGTGAAGTAACAGAGGCTGGATCCTGTCAAACCTCTTCATTATGATTTCATATTAAATGTCTCTCTGTGTTCTTATGGCACAGTTTTTTTCTGATGCTTCCCATGAACTTTGGACATGCTGGCATTTTAAGAAACAGATAGCCCATCTATGGATTTACATGAAATTCAAACTTTCAATCAGAAGGGCAAAGATCAAGTGCTTCCAGAATATTCTTATTGTACTTCAGTTGTGCCCTTAATTTCCAAATAGTTGGGGAAAGAAGGGGACTTATTAGTCTTACACAGAAAAAATAACCATGCCATTCTGCAGCTGTTCTGCTGAAAGTCTTACAACTAGTCCTATTGTTAGCCTATAATAGATAAAATAATTGTGAGGAAAAATGAAGTTAGTAAATAAGGATGCATGGTGCTCAAAGTCCCAACAAAACACAAAATGTGGGATCCTGCATCACAAGGGAACAATTCCCATTTCTTCTTCCAAATTGTCTTCTCTTTCTGTCAACCTTTTGCATCAACAAGATACTACAAAATACTTTTTTTTAATGCTGTAATTTGCATAGGTTACTTGAATGGAGAAGAATTTTATTAGTATCTTCAAGCTAGGTACATGCCACTTGCTAGGAGATTTAGACACCTCACAATACTCCTCTGAACTCTGATATTACACAGAGCTGGATAAGCCACAGAGACTCTGAGACTTAGATACTAAAATGTGTTCAGGTCACTGATTGCAGCTGCATCACTAAATGTTGGATGCTAAATATTTATTAACCACCCAAGCCACAGAACTACCTTTTTTCCTTTCTCTTTAATTTCCTGCTGTTTTTTCTTGAATTTTAAGCTGTTCTAGAGCTTTTGGGAAGAATTTTCAAAACCATCTAAATGACTTTGGGGCATAGTCCTGCTAACTGAAAAGCAATTAGGAGTTTTTGAATACATTAGTCACAATCTCGTGCTTTTAGGCTAATTTTGTTTCAAAGTTGATTATACAGTAGCTTTTAGAGAAGCTAAAGAACTGAATAGGGGAAATGTGAAACTGGGAAACCTTGTTTTCTTTTAGGAAAAACCCAAGAAAGCATTAACTTCACACAGATATATAAAGCCTAAATTTCTTGACTAGGCAGTTATAATTCACATCCTAAGTTTAGATTAATAGCTTGAGGAAAAATTTAGTAAGTCAGTGAAAGGTCTATGCATGTTTGCTTAATATCAGTGGGATTTGCCAGAAAAAGCTGGAATTGCTTTTCTGATGAACTATTTTCCCTACCAATTCCCACCCCCCCTAACAGGCTGATGAGTTCTGAAAATACTCTTCTGCAAGCCAGGGAAGAGGAAGGAGTCAAGTACGAACGGACCTTTGTGGCATTGGAGTTCATTGACTGGCTGATCCAGGAAGGAGAGGCCACGACGCGGACTGAAGCAGAGCAGCTTGGCCGCAGACTTTTGGAGCATGGGATTATACAGCACGGTGAGAAGTTTTTGCCAGGTAGCAAAAGCTACACTTTTTGTAGCCCTTTCTTCAGGTCAGATCATGTTGAGGGGCTCTTGTCTTCTTGGTCATAATATGGCAAAGTTCTAAATCATTTCAGATAGGAGTCTAGGTAACTATTTAATAAGAGTGGGTTTTTCAAAAACTTGATCTGTTCTGAAAATTCTGCCTGTAATGCAGAAAAAGCTAGAATTTGGGGTGTTACAATAACAGCATAAGGATGTGGATAGAAAACAGCACTCCTACACTTGTGGTAATTAACTTGTAGAACTTGTTATCAGTGATAGGTATAATTGAGGTAAATAGCTTTGTAAGGATCAAGTAGGGATTAGAACCATAAATAAGCTAAATTCTCTAAGTAGAACAAAAATGACAGGTTCTTCATGTCTTCGTACTCGAAAGGAGCAGAGCACAGTCTGATGCCAGAAAAGCAGCTTTCCCCCTTGATCATGTTGCAGAGCTGTTCTAGAATGTTTCGTCAAGAAAGAGCATATAATTTTAGGCCAAAGTGGTGTTTTATTTGTCCCGCTGGTATAACTTCTTCGAAGCAGGAATCAAGTATTTCTTCATGGTCCAGTACAATGTGTCTGACAGAGTCACCTTCACCAATTTTTGCCCTCTGTTAAGGGCAGAGGAAGTGGAGTTTTCTCTCTGTGCTGCCCCGAGGATGAAGAAATGAACACTACTGGCACTAAAACCCATTTTACATGTCATCATCTACTCCCAGTGCAAGTTGCCCTTCTGTGACCAGGCTTTTTCCACCACAAATGTGTTGCAGTGCACCTGGGAGTGATGAAGGGATGCCAGGAGATGACAGAAGTAGCTGGCAGAAGCTGTTAGCTATGTTGCTTAATACATAACTCAAAAGTAAGCAGATCCTGGTGATCCGAATGTTGTCATATCAACACTAATTCTGACAGAGAACAAACAATTCATGTTAGTAACAAGTTGTTAATATACAAGGTGCTAGATTGACTAGGTCGCTTGTTGCTTTGTGAGAAAACCTAGTTTTAAGACTAGTTTAATAGACAATAATGGGGGTATAAGTGACCCGCACAGCTCCTCGTGGTTGTAATCATGCTCACATTATCTTTAGCCTCCAATTACTAGGAGCTACTTCTGAATGTTTACAGTAATCAGCTTCCAGTTCTATAATTACCCCTGTGCTTCCTATGATTTATAGGGTGCCAACTGCTTGGAGCTTGATGGACAGGGAAGGTATGCCACTCCTCCTCTTTATAGCAGCAATGATTTCATTCCTATTTTTACCCGAGCATTTTGTGTGTATTATATACAAGGTAAACTTTCCTTAAAAAAAAAAATAAAATTAAAAAAAAGGCAGAAGTGAGATTTATGCTGTGATTGATGTTTTTGCAGAGGAAATAAAGTCAGGACTTGACATTCGGTACAAAGCTGGATTTACATTGCAGTTTAAATCTTTGCAGAACTAAGAAATCTTTGCAGAGCTAAGAAAGTCAGGATGTGGCTTTTACTACAGATCAACCATTGTTTCATTGACTAAGGCAAATGCTCAGCAGTGCACCTTGGCAAGGAAATAGTTTTGCTCCCATCAAGCCGGGTTTCTGGTTGGATTCCTGAGCGATGCTGGCCCTGCTCACCTTTGTGGATTGCCAGTTTTGGAGATCTATCCCCTGCCCATCCTCTTCTAGTAGTCAAGAGCACATGCAAAACACCCTGTTAGAAAGAGATTTGAAGTGACCTCAGATGGGGCCCTGGGAATTGGTGGATTGCTGAGGAAGTGGCCTTCTCACTGCAAGGTACCATCATCTTCCTCACCCAGCTTTTATCAGGGGAAACATAACTCAGTGGGGAATTTGCACTGACTGATGGAGAAGCTGGAAGTGAAATCAAACTGAATGCTATCCTTGGGATTTACCTTTACAAGTGGACATCCTAAACAGATTTCCCTCTTCTCTGGATTTCACTGAAACAATTTGTCTAGATAGTGTCAGGAATACTGATGAGAGTACTAGCACAATTAACACAGAGGTGGTTTGGGGTTCTCCTTAGCAACTGGATACGATCTGTGCATTTTGGAGGTTCATGTAATGTTGGCTTCCTCTAAGAAGGAAGCTTGAAATGAGAACTCCCAGTAAAGAACTGGGGATACAAACTGTAAAATGGCAGGAGTAGTATTCTCTTTTATAACCCCATCTTATGGAATTCTAGGTCCAATTAAAAAAAAAGAGTATTTTTCTATCTCTTGGTACAGTAAATTCATTTCACCACACTATGATCCCTTTGTATTGTATCTCATCAGCAGCACCAAAATGTTACTTGACACTAATTGGCATCCTTGTTGGCAGAACCAGCAGAAAGACTCTTGACTGAACAAGAGAAGAGAATAAAACATTTTCCTGCCCTAAAGGCAATCTTTGCTAGCAGCATTGTTTGATAACCACAGTATGAAAAAAAAATAAAGCTTGCTCTGCTGTTCTGGTGAAGTATTTATTACCTTACCTAATGCAACAGAACGTAATAGAAATAAATTGCATCAAGTTGACAATCTCAGTAGCAGTTTTCCAACCACAACTGAATTGTGCAATTTATTTTTGCTGATACTGACTTTCAGTTACTCATAGAAGCTTTATTTTGCAGCTGAGGTACTGTATTCAAAATGGAGCTTCCTGACACACTTATCTTCACTTTCATTGGTCAGACACAAACCATGTTTCACACAGGAAACAAACACTGATGCTAAATTTAAAAAGGAAAACAGTGGTTTAAGAAGAATTGTGTAAATGATGTAAAAACATCAAATGTTTCAGTTTAAAAATAATCTCCATGATCTCTTTGGGCATATAAAACTATACATATTTCCCCTGCTGTACATGAAAATGATGAAATGTGCTTAAGTGCTGAATTGCTTCCTTCCAAAATCCCACTGGTACATACAGATCATAACCCACAAACCACCATTTTCACAAATAGGAGCCAGATGTCCTTTCCTCTGAACTGGTACTCCCAGGTTATATGGAATAAAAATAAATGTAGCTAGCAGGGTATTATGCACTCTACAATTCTTAAAGGCTTCTGTTGGCAGTGTAATTACCAGTAATTATTCTGCATTTGTGAACACTGATGATCTTCCCCAGAATATAGGAATGAAGACAGGAATAAAGAATTATAAACACAGTGATGAACATCCAATCAGGGCAGGGACAAAAGGTGAACAGAACATGTTTCTCAGCTGTTAAAAAGACCATTTCTATTATGGTGAGGTATGTAAAGCTTTGTAATATTAACAGGTAAAACTTTCCTCCAGGAGAATGGGTCTTTCCTGATTCTTCATATATAAATGGTGAGACAGAGTAGTTACTGTGGTCAAAATTCACATGCAGCAAGAGAAGAAAGAAGTTCCCTGCTGGCTCCAGTATAAATCTGACCAAAGCAAGGATGGGCTGAGGGCAGGCAGAGGACACAGATAGTCACAGCCCTTGCTCAGTCTGGAGAACAGAGATACTGAGTTGTCCAAGAAGGAAAGAGGGTATCCACAAAGCTCCTTCTGGCTTCACTTTTTGACTCATACTTGCTTATGGCACTTGCTGTAACACTTACCCTGCACCTCAGCAGAAGAGCACCACTGCTACGATAGGCTAAGTCCTCCTGCAAGGACTCATCGGGCACAGAAGCTTGAGGGATGGAGAAACGTCTGCATGCCTTGCAAAAAGGCGTAAGGTTTGAAATCTCAAGTGATGGATACTTTCCATTTTAAAATCTGGTTAATACTGTTAAGAGGAACCTATGCCTTCTTAGGATAGCACCTGCAAGGTGAATATTTGCATTTCCTCTGTGGCAGCAACCAAGCCATAGCACATTTAGAAATACTTTTCAGTAGGTTGTGGAGTGTAAATATGATGCCATTTCCCTGCATCGCAGGCAGTACATCGTGTGCCGCAATCCCAGTCAAACCTGAGCAGCAGCACTCACCTTCCCATCCCAGATCATGTTATCTTTCTTTTACTATTGCTGTTTCCCAAGCTGCTGCCTACCTTCAAATGCATGTGCTTAGTGCTATTCCTCTCTTGACATCCCTCCTGCACGTTCCCCAGGCAGTGACCACAGCACAGTTTGGCACACAGAGGTTTGCATGGCTGTCCTTTCTGCTCCAGGAGGGCAGGATGCAGATTCCCAGTTTCAGACCTGCAGAGGAACATATGATGGGGTCTGGAAAGGCCATAGACTTTGCTTTCCTGAATGGGCAAGGGGTGGAAAAGTCTCTTTTGGCAATGACTGGAAGGTATTTTCCTTGAAACATTTTATCAGTGGTAGGATTTTATAATGGTAGTAGATGAGGTAAGATGTCCTAGGCGTGATATAAGGGTCTTTTGCTTTGGATTCGCTTTTCTTCTTTAAAAAGTTTTATTAATTGCACCTGGCCAGATGTGGTGTGTTCAAAGCAGGTGCATGTTCTGCAGCAGGTGCTGATCACCTCTCAAGAGTTAATCTTTTGTCAGCAAAACTCCACTGTGCAAATTACTTTCAGAGAAGAGAACAAACATTTTGTAGTGACTTACTGAGAACAGTAAATATTGACATACGCTCTCTCCCTGTCTCTGCAGAAAAGTCTTAAAACATGTATTTAATTTTCCCCATTCTTTGCAAGAACCCTGTGCCTTTATATACAGCAGAATTTCCTTTAACAAAATGATCAGCACATTTAGCTTCGAGCATCAGGATCCATGGTGCAGTCACAAGTTTGTTGTAATTGTGGAAGTAGATTAAATACCTAGGAAAGTATTATTTCTTTTGATTTTGTTGAAAAGCTTTCCCTCTCTTATCTAAAATGCCCATAAATTGTGAAGTATGTGTTGTTACATTTACCTTACATGTCCAGTTGCTTATGATTAGCTGACATTTGTAAGTGACATTTGTAACTTACTTGGCAAGTGAAAACTTGTCATATATGTGAAATATATGCCTCTGCTTTAACCAACTGCAGGTAGCAATTTATAAGTGCCATTGAACCATCCCAT